AAGGATCCTTGGAGAACTGAGGAAAGGTCTTACGTGAATCCAGAAGGATCCTTGGTGGAGCAGGGTTGGGTCTAGAAGGGTCCTTGGTGAACTGAGGCAAAATCCAGTGTGGGTCCAGAAGGATCCAAGGCCAGGTCCAGCGTGGGTTCCAGAAGGATCCAGGGCCAGGTCCAGCGTGGGTTCCAGAAGGATCTGTGGCCATGTCCACCATGGGTTCCAGAAGGATCAAAGGCCAGGTCCAGCGTGGGTTCCAGAAGGATCCAGGGCCAGGTCCAGCGTGGGTTCCTGAAGGATCCAAGGCCAGGTCCAGCGTGGGTTCCAGAAGGATCCAAGGCCAGGTCCAGCGTGGGTTCCTGAAGGATCTGTGGCCATGTCCACCATGGGTTCCAGAAGGATCAAAGGCCAGGTTCACCATGGGTCCCAGAAGGTGGGTCCAGAAGGATCCAAGGCCAGGTTCACCATGTGGTCCAGAAGGATCCAAGGCCAGGTCCAGCGTGGGTTCCAGAAGGATCCAAGGCCAGGTGCAACATGGATCCAGAAGGATCCAAGGCCAGGTCCAGCGTGGATCCAGAAGGATCCCTGACTGCCCGGCAGAGTTTTTGCCGGGCAGCAGTGGTGGCAGTGGCTGTCCCCCGGGTGCCTCAGGGCTGGTTCTGGGGTTGCCCTGTGCCCTCCCTCACCCGTGCCCGTTTGTGCCCAGGCTGATCCCGGCTCACCCTGCCCTGGTGAACGCCATCGTGCTGGTGCTGCACTCGGTGGCGGGCAGCACGCCCCTGCCAGCCCCGGACACGTCCTCGCGGGCCATGGCCCTGGGCTCCTACCGGGACATGCCAGGTACGTCCCCCTGCTAGGGCAACTCTGCTGAGCCTGTCCTGGCTGCCCAGCCAGCAACTGCACAGGCTTCTCATCTGCTCCCAGCTCCTGCTGGTTTGCCACATCCTCTTATTCCCCTCTCTGGTGCAGGTGGCTTTCTCTTTGAGGGGCTCTCTGATGATGAAGATGATTTCCACCAGGTAAGCAGCCAGGTTGGGTGAACACCTCTTTTTGGGTTTAATTTGTAGTCCTGAGACTCCCAAGCTCTTCCCTTCCCGTCTGCTGAACACCACGAGCTGCCTTGGCTCCCCAGGGGGATGTGGAGACAAACATATTGATCCTGGCTGCTTCCAGGCTGCTCAGGAGAGGGGTTTCCTCACTACTGAACACACAACAGGAAAATGGAACAGAGGAAATGTCCTCACAGCCAAAGTGGAGCGTGGGAATGTTGATCCCTGCCCTTCTGCAGCCTTCCTCTCCACAGGACAAAGGGTTCTGTTAGAAAAACTGGAGGTTTGGGTCCAAACGTGCCTGTAACAGGGAGTTGTTTTGTTCCAGGCTAACATTGCCCTGGTTTGAGGCAGGTGGATGATGGATTGAAAGGTTTCCTGCCAGCTTCCACAGCTGACTTTGTGGAAAAAAAGCACATCCCGCTCTGGCATGTTTGTCTTTCGGAAGTTCCACCCGTGGGAGTTTGGGCTATGGCAGGACAGGGATCTGTGGTTTGACTGGGACACAAGCACCGAGGTCACAGCTGGGGCTTTTCTCTCTCTCTCTCCACGCAGAGCACGAGGTCCACCCCTTCCAGCAGCACGGCGGGCTCGCGCCCGGCCTCGCTGGGCTACGCGGGGGCGGCGGGGCCCCGGCCCATCACCCAGAGCGAGCTGGCCACCGCCCTGGCCCTGGCCAGCACCCCCGAGAGCAGCTCCCACACGCCCACCCCGGGCACACAGGTAACCCCTCTGCACGTCCTCAGGGATGGCTTCTCTTCCCTTTGATCCCAGCCTTGGCACCCAGGGAACAGCCAGCACCAGTTCTGCTCTGGGCTGGCACAGCTGGCTCTGCATTCCCTGGTGCAAATCCGTGTGAT